GCCGCGTATTTAAGCCGATGCTCGCAGAAGAGGAAATTATAAAAATTTCTGCTTTAACTACTTCCTGCAATTGGCTAAGCTTCACTTGTGCTTCTTGCGCGAGTAAAGCATCAGCCTTATTTAAACAAATTATTTCTATTTTCTTTTCTAATAAATCTGAGTAAGAGTTCAATTCATTTCTAATAGTTAAATAATTAGCTTGGATATTTTCACTTGTGGCGTCTAGTAAATGAATTAATACATTACATCTTTCAATATGTTTTAAGAACTTGTCACCAAGCCCATGACCAAGAGAAGCACCTTCAATTAAGCCAGGAATATCAGCTATCACAAATTCTTCATTATCTAAGTAAACTACCCCCAAATTTGGGGTTAGGGTAGTAAAAGGATAATCAGCAATTTTAGGTTTGGCAGCAGTGGTAGAGGCTAAGAAAGTAGATTTGCCTGCATTAGGCAAACCAATAAGGCCAACGTCAGAAATAAGCTTTAAGCGCAAATTGACCCATAGCTCTTCCCCTACTTCACCTTCTGTACTACGCCGTGGAGCTTGGTTAATAGATGACTTAAAATGACTATTACCCAGCCCTCCTTTGCCCCCTTTAAGTATTTCAAAACTTTGCTGATCTGCAATAAAATCATATAGTAAGAAATCAGCATTCTCGGAAAATATTTGAGTTCCCACTGGTACTTGTAAAATTATTGGCACTCTAGACTTGCCGCTTCTGTTTGCACCTTTCCCATTTTCACCATTCTCTGCTTTAAAATGCTGCTTATATCTAAAATTTACTAAAGTATTCAGGTGAGCATTACTTTGCAATATTATGCCACCACCACGACCGCCATCACCACCGTCAGGTCCTCCATTATCAATATATTTTTCCCGGCGAAAGCTTACCGCCCCATGACCACCGTTACCAGCTTTTAAATATATCTTAGCTTCATCAATAAAATTCATCGCACCTTATACATATCATAGTTAATTTTGTTATCTACTGATTCTACCAAGCTAGTAGATAATTCATGAACAAAATTTTGTCTAGCTATACTCAAACTCTTCTTAATCCAGGATTGTTTTGCAGTAATATGTTTAATAGTAGCATCCTCATATTTTTGTTTTATGAAACTATACATATCCTCTAAACCGTCAATTAATCCAAAATCAACTGCAGTTTGACCACACCAAAATTCTCCGTTAAACAAAATATTATCTTCCTGAGTTAATTTACCAATCCGTCGTTCTTTCACATAATCTATAAAATGCTCATGTATTTGTTTTTGTAAATTCTTAATAATTTTGACATCCTTTTCTTGGACCGGCTGAAATGGATCAAGGATAGCTTTATTTTTTCCTTCAGTATAGACTCTTCTTTCTATCCCTAACTTATTGATAGCAGTAGGAAAGCCAAAACCTGCTGAAATAACCCCTATACTACCAATAATTGAGCTTTTAGAAGCGTATATTTTATCGCCAATACAAGCAAGCCAATATCCACCTGATGCTGCCACATCCTCTACAAAACTATAAACCGGTATTTCCTTTTCCACCGCCAACCCTCTAATACGTTTGGCAATTAAATCAGACTGCACAGGAGAACCACCAGGAGAATTAATAGTTAGGCAAATAGCGACAAGATTTCTGGTATCAAAAGCTCTTTCTATTAACTCATTTAAGGTTTCAATATTTAACCCTAATTTAACCGCATTGACTTTACCTATTATACCATTAAGATGGAGGACCGCTACTATTTGGGAACTTTTAGAACCTATTATAGGTAGCATAGAAAATAATTGAGCAAGCTTCCCAGTCTGACGTTTAACAATTGCTCTCTCAAATCCAGCACTAGCAATTGAATTATTATTGCGCGCCTTATTATTGCTCATTTATACTGCTCCTTATCTTTTATATTATTATTTTTTCTAGGGTTATTATCTGGCTTATCTTCGGACATTTCTATCTCTATCTTTTGATCTACTTGAATCTCTAATTTTTCTTCCAATTTTTGTACTTTTTTTGCTGGTAGTTCCTGGTTTTTTATATTCCTATTCGCTGGCTGATTTAGCGATTGCTCTTGATAGCTATTTTTAGGTTCGGGGTAATTTCCTGGAATATGGGATAAAATAATCTGGCGTATTCCATCATCATACCAATTAATAGAACCTACAAAACTTACCAGCTTTTTTCCATCAGGATTAATTAGAATGGCAGTTGGTAACCCTACTATTCCAAAAGCTTTAAATAGTTGATTTTTAAAGTCGTGATAGAGAGGTAAATATCTTATATCATAATTTTGATAATATTGTTGCACTACTTCTATAGACTGATAATCTTGAGAGATAGGAATTATCTCAAATGCTAATTTTCTAAAATCTTTTTGTAATATGTCTAAATCTGGCATTTCCTTCGCACAAGCAGCGCACCAAGTAGCCCAAAATACTAATAATATAGTCTTGCCCTCAAACTGATCAAGCGAATGTTTTGCTTCTTTCTCATCAAAGAAAAATACGGAATCAGGAACACTAGATAAATCTAGAGTCTTAACCCCAGTTCTAATATTTTCGTTTGCCATACTATTATAAGTAATAGATAAACACACAAGCATTAAAATTAAATATTTACTGTACTTCTTATTATTCATATAGATAATGTAACCATATAAGCATGATCATAATAATAAAGTTTAAGAGATAATGAAAAATAATACTTTACTACCTATCCTCTTCTTGCTCTGCCTTTTATTAACTTCTTGCGGTCTAAAAAAACCATTAGAGATTCCTGACAAAGCTCCAGCTAATTTATCGGGTTCTATGAAATAAAATTAATACCTTCGCAAAGTTCTACCTCGCATTACAATATCAAAATCATAAGCAGTTAATCCTTCTGCAATTCTAGACAGAGCATAGTTAATCTCTCCGCAATTTTTAGGATCAGCCGATTTCTTAGTTAAAGAAAGCTGGGTTTGCAAAGCCCCAAGGTCACGATGCTCCACTCGTATATTAACAGAGGCTCTATTAGGATTGCGCCCAGGGTAGATAGTAATAAAATAAAACTCCCCTTTATTATTAGTAGTAGCCGTGCCAGAACCAGTAAAAGTAGAACTATTAGTCCAGGTAAACATATTTTTGTTAACCCTTGTTCGCAATGGCTTATACGGATATTTTCCATCGCTTCCAACGTGCCATAAATATATTTTTGCGTCTGATATAGGCACACAATTTTGATCTAACAATGTCCCTTTTACTATTATTTTTGTTCCACTATATGCTGCTTCTTGTCCTGTTTTTCGCAGTAAATTATTCCCAGGTTGAAACTCTTCGGGTTCATAATCATTCATTACGCTTTTACTAACCTTACAGCGATTTAGTTTATTAGAGAATTTAGCCTCACTCGCTATAGCAATGCTAGAGTATACACATACTATATATAATAAAAGTTTTTTCATTTTATTTCAGCTTATTATTAAATTTATAATTAATAGTTTCTATTGGTTGGTCTAAAAAGCTCTGTATTATCAATTGATTGTCGAACTGCCCGCCTACTATACCGTCTAGCATGATTAATATAAATGGTATGATATAAAAAATTGCGGTCATCCCTACCTGGGTAATCATTGCGCCAATGGGCCCCTCTACTCTCACAGCGCCACAGAGCGGAATATATAGTTGCTTCTGCAGAAACAATCATATTTCCTACTTCTAAATAGCCCTGTAGTTCACTGTTCCATAATAGCGAACTATCCTGTACTCCACTATTATTATAGACTTGTTTAATATTATCAAAAGCTTTTATTGCTTCAAGCAAATTATTGTGCGATCTAAATACCCCCACATTTTTTTGCATTAGTAATTTTAGCTCCTGCTTTAATGTATGAGCTTTTTCTTGCTTGCCATTAAAATGTCCTAAAAATCTATTAACTATAGCTTCTACCACCTCGCTATTAGAAAAAATTTTCCTAGGAATAGCAGGATCAGCCTTATTTACAAGATTTTCAACCGCTAATCTAGCAAACACTATTAAATCAAGTAAAGAATTACAACCCAGTCTACCAGCACCATGGACTGAAGTAGAGGCAGCCTCTCCTATTGCATACAGACTTTCAACTAGCAGCTCCTCTTGAGCAAATTTTACTACTTGGCAAAAGTTATTAGTAGGAATCCCTCCCATAGTATAATGAGCAGCAGGAGCACTTGGGATTAAGGA